ATACTGAGACCGCCATGCAGCCAGGATGGATCCCGACATTACTGTCGATCGACCCAGCTGCATGAATGACAGCGGGCTCTGCCTATTTAGAGGCAAAGCCAGCTGTACCCACCGCCTCAGCACTGGAGAATCGGACAGGGGAGGGGGAGAATCCCTGCAAGGAGCCGTGACTGACCATCACCGCTCTCTGCAGAGAGATGATCGGAAAGTGAGTGAGCGACGGTATGTGTTCGCTCACTTCCTGATCTATTGAGCCAACGTGTGACAGTTTCATTGTCACAGGTCGGCTCGAACTATGAGGATGAGTGATTTTCACTCGCCTCATAGTTCTCCTTTTTAAAGAGCTAAACAACTAATAATACATTTGGTAATTGTGGTATGGTGACATTTGAAAGCAGTCAGCCAGCTTTTCTATATCTGTATCATAGCTTTGTTTGGCTGTGAATTGTGCATTGTGTGAGGCAGTGTCTGTGTTTTGTCATTTGCAACACAAAACACCTGTATGGAAAATCTGGATGGACTGGTTTGCTTACGTCTGGTAATATTTACTGAACAACTTTTGGCTGTTGGAATGCTGCAGTATTTTCTTTTCTCTTACCCAAACCAAACTGGAAAGAATGTTTTAGCCAAACTTATGAAAAGCGCACGGAGGCTGCCATTGCTAACGTTTCATTCTGCCTGGTTGTCATGACCCTTTTTGCTGCGATACTAACCAAGAATATTAATGGAGATAAGGATTCCTTACTTCCTGACTTTCCTGATCTGCCTACTTTTCTGTATCAGAGAAAATAATGTACTAAAGCCAGACAACTTGCATTTTCAGCAGATCAGCAATGGTGGCCATCCATGATTGAATTATGTGTTGTAGTCTACAGCAGCGTTTCTCAACTTTTTGAACTTATCCCAGATAGGGATCTGGTATGGATTTAAAGGGGGGCCCCATGCAAAAACACACAGAGTCCTGCCTTGAAATCAGGAACCCACCTTCATATTACCTAACCGTCGGCTCCGCTCATCCCAAGACCTCCTGCTTTCCAGCTCCCTTGTCCACTCCTCCCATGCTCGCCTCCAGGACTTCTCTAGAGTCTCTCCCATCCTCTGGAATTCTTTACTCCAACCTGTCCGTCTGTTGCCCACCTTGACTGCCTTTAGGCGATCCCTAAAGACGCATCTCTTCAGGGAAGCCTATCCCACCTCAACCTAACCGCTCAACCATCACGTTCTCAAACAATTCATCCCCACGCAGCTCCCTCCTCATGTATCACTTCCCCTTTCCTTTTAGATTGTAAGCCCTCAGGGGCAGGGCCCTCCTTACCGTCTTGAATTGTATTTGGATTGTAATGTCTGCCCTATATTGTAAAGCGCTGCGCAAACTGTTGGCGCTATATAAATCCTGAATAATAATAATAATTAGAGCCCCTTTCAAATCGGAGTTCTTGTTCACACCAGGCCCTCCATTGCATTAGGAGCCCCATTTTACATCAGGAGCTCCCTCCTTTTACATCAGAGTTCCCCTCTCACACTAGAAGCCCCCTTCCCATTAGAGCCCAGTAATTTCACATCAGAAGCCTGCCTGCACCATTGAAAGGCATGATGCTGAGGCACCCCTAAGCATGCCACGACACAATGGTTGAGAAAGGCTGGTCTACTGTGCATCTGCTTGCAAGTTCTATGGTAGACTAATGAATGCAGCTACATACACATTAAAATCATTCAAACCTATAACCCATTACAGATTCCACACGTATTAAGTTGTGTCTGATGTACTAGAGTAATCTCTGGATAAGAAATGCATGTTTTTAAAATTATGTATAGAGCATTTCACAATACAAGGGAACAGGCAAAAAACAGGACCTCCTATGTGCCAGTGACATGCATTTGGCCCTACCTCTTTTCAACTCCTTAATCACCTCTGCACTCTATACTTCTGAGTTGCTATTATATATCGCCCCGAGTTTATCCTACAGTTGAAATCTACAATTGTCAATCCCTGCCCCAACAAACACAGGAGGGAATGGGACTTGGGACTTTGGGGAACTGGCGTAAGGGCTTGTTCACACCGAAAGTGTTTTCGGTGTGAAAGGGCTTGTTCACACCAAAAGCGAAACCGCGACCACTAAGAAACTTCTTCCCGCGTTTTGGGGCAGGAGGGGGCGTGTCGGTGCATTGAATTCAATGCACCGCCACGCCCCCTCTCGCCCCAAAACACGGAGAAGTTTCTTAACGATCGCGGTGCGTTCCAGAAGCTACGGCTCTGGAACGCATGCGCTTTCGGTGCGAACAAGGCATTAAGGGTTATAGTTTATCCAAGGCCACAAACAAAAATTTAAAATATTGCAGTTTACTAGATTTGTTAGCTACATTAGTATTCTTTTCCTGCTCCCTAGGCAAAAACAAGCAGGTAGCCCTTGCAGGCCAAGGACAACTGCATTAACAGCCTAGGTTGCTTCTACCTGGTTTGGACTTCAAACATCTCCCTCACTCTTCAACTCTTTAACATAGGGGCGGATTGTTCTGTAGTCTGCAGAACAAAACTGGGAAGGCTGATTTCAGTTTAGTGCACAGGATGTTGCGCGGACACTGGACATCTGTCAGGATCAGCAAGTCTTTTCTGTGCTTGCAGAAAATATACTTCGCCTGAAAAAAAGCTGTTTTACTTACCTGATCCCCACACCAGGCGTCTCCCTCCAGGCTGCTACATCGGTCCTCGCAGCCTCTTCTCCCCTTCTGCCCAGTGGTGTAAGGACTGCTGATATCAACTAAAATGCAACCTCCATAGCCCTGCATTGTATATGAGAATGTCGAAGGACAGCTCACAGCCGAAGTAGAGAGGTAGAAGAGGAGATTGCCTGGTAAGCAGGGATCAGGTAAATAAAACTGCTTTTTCCTGTCCCCTAGGTATAAACCAGCAATTATACAAAATTCAAAGATCCCCTGTAGATCAATAACACTATTAACCCCTTCGATAAATAGTACCTACCCACACTGCCCGTGACCATAAGAAGGCTATGAAAAACAGCTCTGTTAACTCTTCGGTTGGCAATCACTGGGATTGTTAACAAAACAGTTTTTTATAAGCCATCAGTTAACCCTTGCAGTGTGGGTGGCAGCCTGGAGTTGGGCTTTAAGGTATAAGAAAGGGCTTGTGCACACCATGTACAGTGCGTTCCAGCGCGATTTGCTGCTGAAACACACTGTATCACAACGGGCCAACTCCCTGCGTTCAGGGGCGGGAGGGGGAGTGGCGGTGCATTGAAGACAATGGCACCGCAGCCACTGCCCCCGCCCGAAGTGTGATCGCTCGCACCAGAACGTGTGGCAAAACAATGCCTGCGTTCTGGTCCAGTGCGATCAGAAAACATAGTGCTTACAGCGGGGGGAGTGGCTGCGGTGACGGACTTTAATGCACCACCATGTCCCCTCCCGCCCCTGAACACAGGGAGCCAGCTGGGATATGATACAGTGCGCCCCAGCAGCGAATCATGCTGGAACGCACTGTATATGGCCCACACCAGACTGATGCTAATACCTGCGCAGATTCTAAGGCTCCATTCACACCTAGGTGTCATTGTTTTCACGCACAATAGTGCATGTTTTGTTTAGCGCACAGAAATGTGCAAAATGCTTGTGTTGAGCGTTTCCAGGCATTTCCATTGAACTCTGTGCGGCCAAACATGCTGTAATCTGACTAAAATAAAAAAGCTCATGTACTTTTTCCAGCGTTCCGTATTTTACAGCTTGCGACAGAACACTGTGAACGGGGTCAATTGAAATAAATGGGATTTCTTGTATTGAGAGTTTTGTCGCATTTAACTATGAGCGTCAAAAGCCTAGGTGTGAACAGGGACTTTTTGAACAGGGATGTGATTGCTAATGAGCTTAAGCACTTTTAGGCTTCGTTCAAACCTAGGCTTCAGAGTTTTCGTGCACATAGCGTGCTTTTTGTTTTAGCATGTTTATTGCGGTTTTACACATTTAATGCACATTTTATTAGCAGATTGCAGTGAATGCATTGCGGTGAATGAGCACACATGCGCCCAAACGCACACAAAAATGTGCAAAACACTTGTCGCATGTTTTCATGCTCTTCCATTGAAGTCTATGCGGCCAAACGCGCTGTAATCTGCCCGAAAAATGCAATGTATCTTTTCCAGCGTTCTGCGTTTTACAGCTTGTGACCAAACTCTCAGGTGTGATTAAGGGCCATAGAAATAAATGGGATTTCTAGTGCTGAGAGTTTTGTTGCACTTTGAGCGTCAAAATGCCCACGTGTGAACAGGGACTGACTGCCACTCATGTACACTCAATTCCTGCTAAAGGCCTATTGATTTGGTAATAACTTTGTTATTACTTAAGATAAAGAAGTAATACACATTTTACAAAATGTGAGAAATGAGAGAAATCCCCCCGGCCAGCAGCCTGTGTGTGGTCTGTACGCTGCATCTCAGGCCCGCAGTTGGCATTCGGCATAATGCTCGCAAACGGCGGGCGCTCATTGGTCAGCAAGGTCACCTGGCCACAATGACCAATGAGAAGTGCTTCCTTATGTACCATATGTACATTGTGCCATGCTGGACCAATGTGAGTATCTATAAATCTTTATAGCTGGAGTTCAGCTTTAAGGGGATTTAGAGAGAAAAAGGCCTGGGGATTATAATGATTAATGTGCACTTGTACTGAGAGAAACCTGACAAAAGTTATGTTTTCAAAATTTGAGTGGTTTTGCAAAGAATTACCAAAGACTTTCACTCAAAACACACAGTAAGAAGTGTTGAGGGTAATGTTTTATATTGACGAAATGCTACATTTTATATTGTCAAATGCTACTTTTAACAGCAGAGGGGAGAATTCATGACAAAAGGTTTTTTTTGTGAATATTCCACATTGCTCCTGTGTTGCACTGCCTTGTCGTGCTGAAAAAAAAGATAATGTTTTTTGTATATTTAGAGACTCTCCTCATCTATTCTGCTTTTCAACTACATTTTTTTTTTTTGTTCCAGAAAAAGCGACAAGCTTATGAGTCAAATCTCATGAGAAATGGTTTACAGCTGGAAGCCACCAGATCTGTAAGTTTTTGAATCCATGACAGTTTCTAAATTCAAAATATATTTGAATATATTTAGAAAAAAAATAAAACTATATATATATATATATATAAACAGTATAGTGTTTGTTTATTACATAATATTTACTGTATATTTGGAAAATACCTATATGTGATTAAACTGAACTGTTGAAAATGTTATGTTTAGATTTCCATTATAACCATATTGTTTTCCATTGATGTGTTTGTTTAAAAAATGCAGTGGAGCAACTTTTAAATTAATCTTTAAATGGTGACTGGTAGTTGTCAGAGCTGCCTGAAAATAACACTGGCCTAGCCTAACAACTGGCTCAAATAACAGTGGTGCTGAAGTATTGGAAAAGACAATTCAAGTATTGAAAAAGATCCAAACATATTTTTACCCCCATAAACTAACACTAGGTTAGAGGTTACCTGTGAGTTTTAATAGGTGCTTGCTAATGGAAGCGGGAAAAGGAGCCATTTGAGGTGGTGATAAAATAACGTAAAATTGTATACTTACCTATCGGTAATTTTCCTTTCCTGACACCAATACATGGCAGTATACGTATGGGTATGGCTCCGCCCCCAGCCCATTTGTATGCTGCCATATTTGGTGTCAGGAAAAGTGAACATTGTATAGTTGCCTATCAGTAATTTTCCTTTCCTAAAGCCAAAACATGGAAGCATATGAATGGGCTGGGGGCAGAGCCATACCCATCTGTATGCTGCCATGTTTGGTGTCAGGAAAATTATTTTTAAGCAATTCCAGCTGTCAGCAGGTAAATGCCCCTTGTGGTAAAAGATGAATTACAAATCTAGCAGTATTTATATTCCTAAATGACATTATCATAAGATACAAAAAAAATATTGGTGAATTAGAGCTTTTATTCTTTAAATGGATTCCTGTGTCCTGTAGAGTTCCTTGGATCTTGGGACTGTATACAGGGGCTCAGACTTCACTTCAAGACAAGATTCAGGCCTTTTTTCCCATCCTTACTCTGTCAAATTCTAGAGTCCCTACTGTGTAGTGAGGTTTCATTTGACAATTCAGTGATGGGAAGTGGAGCATACCACCAGGAGATGAAGGGCTTTCTCGATTTGCAGAACAACCTGGGCCTAAGATCCAATGGGCTTTAGGGTTTGGGGCAGCAGGCGTTGTTTACCTGCGTTTGACATGCTCTTTGGAATGCACATCAAACGCAGGTCCGCAAAATCCTATTGACTTTAATTGAGCAATACACGTAGCAGTTCAGAGGCTGCCTTTGACCTGCTTTGTGTTGCATTGTGCTGCGTTATAGTGGATGCAGCATATCCTGTTGAAGAGCACTTGAACTGCAGGGAAGCCTATTCTTCTCAAATGATGCATTTGCCATTCAAATACATGCGTTTGCATTTGAATAGCAAATCTAGTGATTGAATAGAATGCCAGTGAAAGCGAGCCCTTACAAAGTTATGAGATTTAGTTGAAAATTGACACTGTTACGTGCTTCATTATTTTTTAGCCTTTTAGCACTTTTGTAGTCTGGTCAAATTAACTTAAAGGGCAAGTTGACTGAGAAGGTTGCCATAAGTCGTATGAAATCATTTCTTATCAATTTATAATGTGGTATTGGGAACTGTAGCACTGAGAACATTTGCAACAGAGGCATGCAGCATCATTTTTGGCAGTCCCTACCAGAGGGTGGAATTGGGTGTTTGGTAGGCTAGAATTTTCTGAAATGATACAGACTGAAATGTTTATATCCATAAAATCAGCCATCATCTCTAAAGAGCTTGTGTCCTAGGGTTGGTATTCTATCTTCCTGGGTTTCACGGGTTTGCATTTCACATCTATAGAGTCATCTCTACTTTATGTTGAGGTAACCATACACTGTCCAAATTTTGCCCGGTTCCTCAAGGATTCGCACAGTGGGTGCCGCTGTCTGCACCCTTTCGGTTAGCATTCCTCAATTAGCTGATCGAAAGAGACAGTCGGAAAATCTTTGTATGAACAGAGCCAATAGCCAATGAGCTGCTGGCTCTGTTCAGGTATTCGAGAAATCCCTGCTGTTTTTTTCAGATCAACTTGCTTGTAGCATTAATGGAGGAATCTGCTCTATTTTTATGTTTTTTTTTGTTCAGCCCACGGGTTGGACAAAAAAATAGAGCAGTGTATGGTCAGCTTTACACCTAGATGCCTAACTTTTGTGGTTTTGTCCAGTTGTTGTCAGTGGAGCTGGATCATAAAAAAATTATGTTGGCTCCTGAGAATTCCATATTCATTTGTCCACCCCTGCATTAAATCCTATATTTTTTGGAGGCAGCCTTGATCAATGTACTCTGATTTCCTATTCTTACAAAAAAGTTAAATGGCAACGTTTGTGTTTGTCTGTCACTGTAGGTGGCCGGTGAGGGATTGGTGTTTGTAAAGGTGCATGCACCATGGGAAGTCCTGTGTACCTACGCAGAAGTGATGCACATCAAGCTACCTATACAACCAAATGATCTAAGGCAACGACGTTCAGCTTTTAACTTGTTCACAAGAATCTTTCGCGTGAGTGAAGATGTGATAAAACCAGAACAGGAATTCTTCACAGCCCCCTTTGAAAAGGATCGTGTAGATGATTTTTATGTCCGGGACAGAGAAGCCTTTTTCACGCCAGCAACCAGAAGTCGCATTGTAAGTAACCAAAGCCTATCCTATTCCAACTTATCATCCCTTTACAATTTTCTGTTACTCTTTTGATATTTCAGGACGTAGGCTTCCTAGTCTACATATGACAGAGAATGTATATAAATCAGTATAGGTCCACTGTCAGTGATTAAGACACACCTTCTAAATTTTGAACTGTTGGAAATGTGCTACATACTTTTATATATACTCATTTATTCATTCAGGATTTAACCCTAGAATATGTTCATTCTTGCCAACTTTCCTACCTTGTCTGTTATTTATGGAATGTTAAGTGTTTCAGGAAACTTGGATTATAAAAAGAACAAACTCAAGTAAGATATATATAAACAAGAACAGTTTACTGGCATTGACATAATAATAATGATAAACATGAAAAGAAAAGAAATCAACTTTATGTGAAAGATATTACTGTAGATCTTTTATTTTGTATAGGTTATATTATTAGTAGTAATCCTATTATTAGTAGTATTATTATTATTAGTAGTAGTAGTAGTAGTATTATTATTATCCTCCTATTTATTGTAATGGACATCTTCAGATAGTAGTTTGTTCCTGATAAAGACAGTGCTAACTTGCCCTTTCATTCAAGGCAAAGTGAAGGGCCCCCCTGATTTCCTCTATAGCAGGTGGCACTAAAAACACCACTGCCGCCTGGTGCTAGACCCAAGGGTGAGCAATTGACTGCTAGCCCCAGCACTGTCACAAGGGAGGAGGTCACATGCTCACCCATAACAGGAAGTGCCAGGTGTTGTCGTGGGCTACGCTGAAGAAAGGATTGGTGGGGGAGCACTGGCACTGGAGTGTACAAAGGGCACTCCTTTGTAAAGACATTGACACTTTCCTCGATTGCCACCTTGCCCAGAGTCTGTTCTTATCCTTCATGTTACTGGAAAGAGAAATCTCTCCGATGTGGTTACAGATGGCAGTAAAAACCTGAAAGATTTTGTCAAACAATAAAAACAGTTTTGGCTGAGGTTAGGCTTTAAGGAGCTCATTCACACCGAATCCATTAGCATTCAATTTTTAATAGATGTCAGCAGTGCCAAACGAAGGTAACCTGAAAAATATGTGGGTGTAAATGGGACCAGCTCACATCGCTTTGCTCTGCTCTGTTTTGTTGCATTGCAGTGCACTGGGGAAAAAAAGCATGCTCTACTTTTTTCAGCACAGCATAACGTAACATGACAAAAACGGATCGCAACGGAACTGAAGTTAAAAAAAAACATAGTTTGTCCACTTAGGATATGTTAATTAAGATAAACATTGGCAAACAAGAAAAAAAAAAGGCAACACAACGCAGTGAAAGTCAACGGAGGTTCAAATTTCAAGTCTCTGTTGATTTTTACTTTTTCGATCCAGTTTTGGTGTGAATAGGCCCTGAAACATACAAAACCATTAGATGAATTATGAACTGAGCCTTTGTCTGTTACATTGGTTAATTCTAGCCATATCAGAGGATGAAATCTCATATCTGTGGCTAGTTTTAGGCCTGTGACAGTGGTGGCCTGACAAATATTAGTAATATGTTTAAAGAAAACGAATCCTTGCACCATATCACAGACAGGAAAGACGTTTGTTCTAAAACTTCATTATATTGGACATTTTCAGCCTTGTGTATTTTACTTGCAGGTCCACTTTATACTCTCTCGGGTTGAATATGCGGTGAAGGAAAATGTGAAAAAATTTGGCATTAACAAACTTTTGGATTCCAATATTTATAAGGCAGCATTTCCTCTTCATGATGTAAGGACTTTTGCATGCTTTAATAATTTTAAAAATCTTCCACATATCTTATGCATTTTGTTTATTTTGGTTATCCTCTCAGTAACAGTTGTTTGATGTTTTAATATAATACAAATTGTAATTCTAAACTTCAGGCAAATATCGGAAAAGCGAAATTCAATCCAGTTATGCATGCCTTAAAATCAATAAATATATTTTACATACAGAACTGTGAAGCACCTGAAGTTGTAATCAACCTTCTGTAATCCCTTGGACAGCAGAAATTAGGCTGGGAAGAGATGGCACCATCACAAAGAGCCAATCATGGCTCTATTGCTGTGAACAGTACTGTCAGTACTTTCTAGACATGCTTAGAAGAGGAGGGGGTTGGGGCACACGGATGGGCTTATCAATTTGCTACTCAGTAGGCTGAGGGTGATCTGCTGGCTAGGTAGTATAGTATTGCTTAAATACAGTGGCGATAAGTGAGGACAGAAACCTACAGTAGCTAGCAGAATGATCCCACGTGTGGCTAAACAGAATTTCAGATATTTGAAAAGTTAAGACAATTCACAAAACTAGTATGTATTCCAACCGTATATTTAGCTGTTTGTCTAGAGTTCAGCTTTCACACTCACTATTAGCTTGCAAGTATTCTAGCTTATTACCAACTTTACATTTAGCTGTCCCTTAAATTGTTCCTTTTTTTAACTGCCCTGCTTTTGAGTGTGCATATAACATTTGTATGTATTCCGCAGTGTAGATTTAATGTCAAGTCAGAGGATGCAAGATGCCCCAACGAAAGATACCTGCTGTACAGAGAATGGGCTCACCCACTTAGCTTTTACAAGCTGCAGCCTTTAGATCTTGTAAGGTATGGAGAAAAGGCAAATGCTAAACCGTTAATTTCTCAGGCAGACACATTCCTATTTTGCTGACTAAAATCTATTAATTTTATTTTATACCGTGAAGCAATAACTCTCCCTCCGTACTGCTGTCATGTCCATGGTTTCATTTGCCATGGTAAACAAATCATATTGATGTCACTTAAAAGAACCCAAGAATCCATATCTATTTTCATATTGCATTTTATCTTCCACTTAATCTGCACCTTCAAAAACACCTCTCATATTTCTGTCTTTGCAGATTTATTTTAAAATGGACAGTTTCAACAAATTCTTTTAAAATTCCAAATCATTAATAAAATTGTAAGTCATTTTGGCAAATGTAAAAATAAATGCAAAATACAGGAGCAGATTTCTTTTTTTTTTAAAAGGTGGTGTTATGCTACTTCTTCAGTCCCTTCTCTAAACTATACTTGAAAACATCTTATGAAAAATTCCACAGTGATTAGAGATGAGTGACTCTTTAAAAATGCAGGAGTGTAGATTGTTATGCAATTTACATAAAAATGTGTAATGATCTTGAGTTAGAACCTACAGAGCATTAAATAGCTTGCCGTTGTTCTTGTGCTAGGTTAAAGCGGACTTCTAGTTTTCTCATTATGTTCAGTAATAGACTTTCTTTATTGTGGCATAAGGTGCAAGTACTTAGTATCCACTCTCTGTACTGCCATCATTTGTGCTGCCTGCCCACCTGAGGAACCAGTGTAAGTTGTGACTTTCTAAGCAAAGTCAAGACTTACATACTCTGCTCACCTTTGCATGACGGCACTTTAGACCGCCAGTTGATACTGCATTTTGCATGTGTGTGTCGTGGGAGTTTCATGTGTTCCCTTACACCTGGAAATACTGAGTAATCCCTGGACTGGCCTGCAGCAGAATGGAGGAGCAAGTGGAAGGCATGTGCCTGTATTATATGCCCACACAGTAAAGTGATCCTGGTACTTTGCCCAGTATAAGCAAAGAACAGGTTCACTGTGAATGCTTGATTGGTCTTTCTGTGTTGAGTGCAGTACCTAAAGAGGAACTGAGGGCTGAGCTCTGCTGAGAGAACTTTACATACAGTGCAAGTATGCATGGTTTTTTTTTTGTTTTTTTACAGACCGATTGCATCCAAATACTCTTCTACCAAAATGCTGTGCTCCAGTAATATATTTTTTTTTTTTTATGAGTTCAGTTCATAGTCTTGTATCTGTCTTCTTAAATCTGAGGTATAGCATGGTACATAGGAAAAACAATTGTATCTTTTTTTTTTTTTTTTCATTCTACAGAAAATACTACGGTGAAAAAATTGGAATCTATTTTGCCTGGCTGGGTTTCTATACCCGCATGTTGATCCTGGCAGCAATAGTGGGACTTGCATGTTTCTTGTATGGCTATAAATCTCAGGAATCCTGCACCTGGAGGTAAGCATGAAACTTACACTTACGTAAATATATTGAGCACCGGAAACTTGGCATTATCACTGAAAATAGGTCCAGTAAGTTCTTACTGCCTAAATAAAAATTAAAAAAAATATATATATATACACACTGAACAGAGGGATTGTGCAGTTAAAATATAGCTCTGCATATACATACTGCCTATATATAACTTTTTTTTATTGCAGCTAAAAGAAACCTTTATTGTAAAAAAATTAATACAAGTGTGTTTTACAGCTGTTCTTATTAAGTTAAACAATTCACTTAAAAATTTGGAGTTAATTTTAAATGTGATTGTGCCAGCAGTTCTACGGTATTTTATGATGGAGTTGCTTGGATGTGTTCCTGGCCTGTGTCTACATAATATCGTTTTCTTTAATAAAATGGTAGCTTTTTCTGTATTGTAGGATTTATTCAGAAGTTAACAGAACTTAACATTATCTCCAGTATAATACAATCACCAAGGATGTTCACTTTATCTCCTCCATGCACTGATGTAGACTGTCAAATGATACACATGTACTTGTCAGAGCAACCATCGTTTACATAAAATGATCATATACAACTATCAGTTAATGTCTGTGTCTTAAGCAATTATAGTCTGCCATTTATTTATATGTGTGTGTGTAAGTGTCCAGCTAATTTAAATATTCATTCATATCAGATAGCTTCTAGGGCCCATGAATTCCATTGTTTCTGCTGTGGTGCAGTAATCCTTGCGTGTTAACACTTTATGACACGAGTTGATGTTAAAGTTAGGGGGTTTTTTTTGTCACCTGTGTCCACAATGCATGGTAGTGTAGTACCGTGCATTGTGAAAGTGCATTCAGGTGCCATTCAGAATGGCACCCCAGTGCAGCAGGATACCATTCAGAATTCAGAGACCTCATCACATTCAGTAGCAGTAAAGTACACATTATCACACTATAATGTAAACCCAGCTTTAAAGCCTTGTTTTTGCATGCAACTTGCAATTTTATATGTACATGGCGGCAGCCATGTTTGGTTATTACATTTACAGACTCTGCCTGATTATTGGAACTGTACAGTGACTGTGTTTTACTGCTTCTCTCTCTGTGTAACTGTATGGATCTGGTTTGACGTGTCTTAAACAACTACACTTTTTTTTTTTCTAAGGCACAAAAGTTATCTAAACAGTCACTAAGCATTGAATGGTGATCACATTCTCCGATAAACTGATGACAAGTAGAGTGAAAGTTTTCTAATCGGTATAGAAAATATAAAAATTAAAATGGAGAACAAGCACAAAATACTTGAAATATATACTAACATTTTGGTAAACTAAAATAATCCCTTTAGATAGAATATTTGGCAGCTTTAAATCTTCCAGCTTTGAGTTGCTTCTTGTCTTTATGGTGTGAATGTTGGTGGTCATTATTTCCAATGCCTCTTGGAACGCAATTGCACGGGATGCGAGGTGAAAGTACACATTGTTTACTGTATATAAATTTACTGATCAAAATAGCTTTTTGATAATAAAATGACTTGAGACTGATGTATAAAAATCCAAGAAAAGGAAATGGGGATGCTGTTATTGCGACCAGTCAGGGTTTATTTTACATTGTTTCCATTGTACTCCTAATATTGTATGAAATTTGGTTGAGCTCCACAAGTCCATACTTTCAAGTCATTTTCTTTATTGTGTCTGAAAAGCCTACATTTCATAAATATACTGGACCTTTGTGTGTTTCAAGTCCCCTAAAACAGAAACTCTCTTTCAGCAAAGAAGTTTGTGACCCAGACATTGGAGGAAATATCATAATGTGTCCACAGTGTGACAAAGAGTGTACATACTGGCACCTTAACATCACCTGTAGTTCTTCAAAGGTAATGTCTCACAGACATATGGAAACAAAAAAGCAGAGTATATTTTTTTGTATGCGATTTATGGTCATATTCATTCTCTTGCATAGAGATATGCAGGACTCTTATCAGTCACTAATATTAATAAAAGTTTAAAGAGCATATCCATTTAATAAATCTTTTCTTTTTTTGGATAATGAGGATAGGCTATTAGGTAGGGGTGCCCATTAGGTAGATCGTGATCTACCAGTAGCTCTCAAAGCTGATGCTGGTAGATCACGAATGGTGTGAATGGTGGCCCCTTTATTTCATTTTGGTATATTTATTCCTCTGTGCACACATGATTACCTATCAGCCTGAGTCTCCTGAGCCAAGCTCCCTGACACCTTTCTGGTGGTTGAGGTGCTATGTATTACATCAAAGAATATTAGTTTACACAGTCTGTTGCACTACAATGTTTGCAAAATACAGCAAGGTGAGCCAGGAGAGAGAGCGAGGAGAGACAGACAGGAGAGAGAGCAAGTAGAGACAGCCAGGAAAGAGAGTGAGGAGAGACAGCCAAAAGAGAAAACAAGGAATGACAGCCAGGAGAGAGAGCGAGGAATGACAGCCAGAAGAGAGAGAGAGAGAGCAAGGAAAGACAGCTAGGAGAGAGAGGAGAGACAGCCAGGGGGATGAACAAGGAGAGACAGTCAGTTGAGAGAGCAAAGAGAGACAGCCAGGAGAGTGAGGAGAGATAGCCAGGAGAGAGAGAGCGAGGAAGGTTTTTTTTTTCGATGGTAGATCTACATGTAGCTCATCATTTGAAAAGTAGATCTTAACACAAAAATAGTGGGCACCCCTGGGCTAGAACCGTTGTCTGTTTTTTACTGTCTCTGTTCCTGTTAGATTAGATTTCATGATTTACATAATTTTTTTTTTTTAAGCTCTAATCTGCAAAAGTGACAGTTGCAAACATTTCTAGATGGCTGATTTGCAGCTCTACTCACACCATAGAGGATTGTTCCTGAAGCTAGGATAAACTGAAAACCAAATTCTGTGGTTTGTGAGAAGAAGGTATATGTCTGCTACTTGCAGAAAAAAAAACTTGTTTACAATCTTCCCCTCACTTCCTACCCTGTACATAAAACAGGATGTGAGAGGAAATCTATCCAAGTCCAGGGAAAATCCCCTCTTACCTCCTCCCACTAGAAGATGTCCCTTATATTCCTGCTCTGATGATAACTAACATTTTTGTCCACAGGAATATGGCCTCAAACTAGCAGGAGGAAAATTCAAAATTAACCTTAGAAAGTATTATTTTACTGAGTACTTAATGCTTGAGTAGTGGTAGTAGTAGTTGAAGAGTAGTTGATTCTTGGAACAAACTTCCAGTACTGTTACTAAGACGATGGACCACTTGGTCTTTTTCTGCCATCACACTTCTATGTTTCTATGATGTCAGTGAAATTGCCTTTCTCCCAGTCAACCCTAGCTTTAAAAGGGATGGCTAGTTTTTTTTTTTTTCGTTTTTTCTTCACAAGGTCAGAAGAGTAGAGTATAGCTCTTTAAATTACCAAAAAAAAACAAATATTGAATTAAATTTGTGTTAAACAAAAAAATAGCTGGCAGTCATTTATGTATGGCTTTATAGAACTGTCAATGTACTAGATATTTAAGATAAACATAACATGGATCCAGAGGTAGTATGTAACTGGGCGGGTGCAATAGCCAGCTTGCTATTAGCTATTGCAATTTAAAATGGCTAATAGCAGGCTGGCTATTGCTCCCTGCCACTGCTTACTGTGTTTACATTCAGCTGCCTCAGCAGGCAGCGGTCATTCCCCAGTGAAGTGGAAAGGTGACAGTAGGGGTCTAATAGACTCCTAATGTCATCTTAAAATGAACCTGTCACCTCAAATGTGCTATCACATAAGGGGCTTGTGAGT